ATTTAATGCCAGTGAATATATGGCAGAAACCTATAATCAATATTATTGGTATCTAAATTTTACATTATCATGAATAGCTGTACCAACAGTGAGGGGATGTAACCAGAATCTATAGACCAGAAAATCCTGCTCTTTGCACAACATGCTGCAAATTCCAATATGTAAGCGAGTCCAGCCTCAAGACTGGGTCATGGGGAGGGGAGCCCTTCACCATCCTGGGCATCTTTTCAGTCAGCTAAGGTACAGCTGACAGAATATGGCAAGGATGGCACACACAGGCATGCATTGATCTTAAAATTAATTGGCCGAAATGAGAGCCATCGGTGGCACCTGCCACCACCACCTGACTCAGCAAACTTCTAATAAACTAAAACATAAATGAATAAAATAAATAGAAGGAGCCAGGTGAAAAATTGTTGAACAGTGACTATGTCCAATGAGATGCAGTCATTGTTTATCATGGATGGGGAGATAGAGTGGTTTCTCTTGTTTAGACTGCAGGGCTGAAAGAACTTGAAGCACGTACAGATCCCTTAAAACACACACACGCGTAGATAAATGGATTGTATGCGCCAACAGAACCAAATATCTTTAAAATAAAAATAAAAAATTGACAAAAAAAAAAGTTAGGATTTTACATATAATATTGCAAAATACTTTATATACAGAGCAAACGAAGAATAAAATCTTAAAACCCTTTGAGAATGAATTGTTCTCTGTATGTATCTTCCACCTAGAAATACATCTATGATTAAGTCACCAATTTGTTTGGAACTGACAGAATACAGGTTTGCCTGATCAGTCATTTTGTGTGCAGTACTCATATTGAAAGAGTTAAGGTCTCATGAGAAGGTTTTCTATCTGTATACTATGATATTTAACAATGTATGAGTATTACCCATCCTAAATGTAGGTGTATTCTTCTCAAAGGGATTTAGTTTCTATTTTTTAACCTTTGTTCTGTGAATAAAGTAAATTGCAATATTGTAAGTGCAGTCCTTTCTTTTTTATATAAATGTATGGACTAAAAGCTTGTGTTTGAAGATATCTGGTTCTGTTGAAGTCATATAAAGAGGGTTTTAAGTAAGTTGGGTTCAGTAATACATCTTAAAAAGTGTCCATAAACCCAAAATGTAACCAAATATAACCACAGTTCCCTAGGCAGCTCTATTAAGACCCATGCAAGAGATAATACAGGCCATCATAACTGACATTTTAAGCTACAGCCATTCGTTCCACATGTTCTATAAACAAGGGATCAACCTCAGCAGTGGCGAGGTGCCTTTTAAGGGACTTTGACCCACGAGAACAGAGAGGGCTTCAAATTGCTTATCGCTTGAGTTCCAAAAGACAGGAATGTCCTCCATCAGTATGGTGATACATCCCACGTGAAAGAGAAATATATTTCAAATATATTTAGCAAATACATTTATATATGTGACATATATTTACAATATATTGTCTTACTCAAATATATTTTAAGATATATTCAAAAAATGTAAATGAAAATATATTTTCCAAAGTCATATATATTTCAAAATATATTTTTTATATATTTTTTAAACATGGAAAAAAAGACATTTCCACATATATTTTGAAATGTATTTGGGAATGCATTCCACAAATGTAATTAAAATATATTTTCCAAAGTCATATATTTGAAAATATATTTTTGAGATTTTTTTAACATGTAAAAAAAGAAATTTCCGCATATATTTTCAAATGTATTTGGGAATGCATTCCAGAAATGTAATTAAAATGTATTTTCCAAAGACATATATTTGAAAATTTATTTTGAAATATATTTTTGAGATTTTTTTAAAGGAGAACTATGGGGTCAGTGTTTTTCCCCATAGTTCTCCTTGGGGTAACGGGAGGACACAAACTAGCGTCCTCCTGTCACCCTAAGCTCAGTATATACTGAGATGCCGCACCTGGAGCGGATCCCGACTTAGATGACGGGATCCGCCCAGCTGCGTGAGTGACAGCTGGCTCTGCCTATCTAGAGGCAGAGCCAGCTGTACCCGACCCCTCCCCCGTCTGTTCCGCCAGTCAGCGCTGGCAGATCGGAGCGGGGAGAGGGGAATCCAGCCCCTCCCCCTGTCACGGCAGAGAGCCGTGACAGGATCGAGAGGTGAGGGAACCCGGTATGTTTTCCCTCACCTCCCGATCTACTGAGCCGACCTGTGACAGTCTCATTGTCACAGGTCGGCTTAGAACTATGACGTGAGTGGAAATCACTCATGTCATAGTTCTCCTTTAACATGTAACAAAAGACATTTCCACATATATTTTGAAATGTATTTGGGAATGCATTCCAGAAATGTAATTAAAATGTATTTTCCAAAGACATATATTTGAAAATTTATTTTGAAATATATTTGTGATATTTTTTTAACATGTAAAAACAGACATTTCAGCATATAATTTTTAAATATATGTGGAAATGCATTCCAAAAATGAAATTAAAATGTATTCTCCAAAGATACATATTTGAAAATATATTTTTAGTACATATTTTCCAGATATTTTTAACATTTTTAAATATACTTGTAAATGCATTGCAAAAATGCAATTTAAATGCATTTTCTAAAGACATTTTTTTTAAATATATTTTTAAAATACATTTGAGTCATTTTTTAACATCTAAATAAGGCATTTAGACATATTTTTTTCAGAAATGTTTGTAAAATTGACTTGGAATGTACTATTTAAAAAAAAAGAAAAAAAATCGCTATAAAATAGCTAAAAATTATGAATACATGTCAAAGAGACTTCCTGTCATTTTAATCTAGTTTGCATTGTTCTTATTTTTAAAGTTCCGAAATTGGCATCAGTTTCACATATCTGGAATGACACAACCATGGCAGAAATGGTGTGTGTGTGTGTGTCTGGGGAACCCTATTGTACTGAAATTGTATTGTAACTGTACCGTATATTCCCATTTTGTAAAGTGCTGCGTAAACTCTGTTGTCGCTTTATAAAAAATGTATAATAATAATCATCATATGCACAATACGAGAGAGAGATATATCAAAAATGCATCTCCCATCACTTGCATACAGTACATGTAAAAATGTTTTTCATGTCATTTTATACTCTTTTTACTGTGTGTGTGCGTGGGGATTTCTGTGCCTTCAGACAATCTCTTAAAATGTGAAATCAACCCTGGGTGCACATTCAGCAAAGTGCATGAGCAGCATAGATTGCAGACAAAGCAGGTCTGTGGGAGGAGCTCGGCTTAGCTGGAGCTAGAGGATGAATTTTCACCTCTCACTTCCTGTTTCTGGTCTGAGCAGCATGATCTGTTTTCACAATCCTCCATTCTCCTGGATCAAAGGTAACACATTGTCTTATCAAATAGCATTAGAATGGTGGAAGTAAGGTGAATGATTCAAGTTTTATGAATATTTGTTTATTCCCTGCTCAGTAGTTTTCATTCTGTATTCATTCACCTCCCTATTACATCCAGTCACCATGTGCTCTGTGCACACAGTTCTGCAGCATGAGCTCTGCACTCTGTAACAAATATTGTATGTCTCCCCTAATGTATATATTATTCTTTGCCCTGCTACACAGTTCTGTTAGTCTTGTGATTTTAACTCCCTAAGTGCTAGTATATAGTATGTTCCAGCGGTATAATATGTATCCCTCAACCTTCTAACAGTTTAGTCAATATTAGTCAATATATGTATAGTACAGACTTTATCTCAATAAAGTGTATGCATTATACTATATGTAGAGAGGTTATGAAAGGGCAGAGGGACTGGTGCATCACAAATACTGTTACAATAAAGACTGGTGCCCAGGGGAGGATTTAGTCACTCATCTCCCAGCAGCAGACATTATGTAAGTTCAGCTCTATATGGAGGAAAAATAAAAAACTACAATACCTAGAATTGGCCATAGGCAACGCTTTAAAAGCTTTTACTGCTCATCAATTTAGTGTTAACAGTGATTGATGCCCTAGAATTATTGCTCACACTCCCACGTTCGCGGCAATATGTAACATGATTGGCGTAATCGTTGTTTTCACACATTGGCGCACCAGACGCATATTTAAGTTTATATGTGCTGGGGGAATTAAATTTTTTGGGGCGGGGTTTACATTTTTTTAAAATATGAAACTAATTGTTTTTAAACTTTTATTTTTTAAACTTTACTTTATTGCTATCACATAGGGGGATAACAAGTCCCCTATGTGATAGCCAATATACACTGACAGGTCCTCTTTATGGAGACAGGGTTCTTTAAAGACCCCTAATGTCACGTAATGACCCCCAAAGAAGCTGATAAAGCACAGATCTGCTCCACCGGCTTCTTCTCTGGCTATAGCAGCCAGAGAAATGATAGCTAAAGGTGGAAGTGATGTAATACACATTGCTTCCCTCTTCAGAGAGCGAAGAGGAGTGATCCGCAGAGGGGAATGCTGATCTTGCCCCCGTTCTCTGTAAAGACAGTCGCTGTGCTCGTAACCGATAGTGAAGGGGGGCCACGGTAGCAGAGGGTGGGCACACTCTACATTGTAATACAAGCCATTGGCTGGCTGTAGAGCTGGCCGAACACTTCTATGTAACAGTCGGTATCGGCTGTTTACATGCCCGGCGGGATTCTGCTCGCGCGCCTGCAGAACAGAAATGATGTACAGGCACATCCACCCGCTGGGAAGTGTCGGTGTCCCGTGTATTTACAGTGGGCAGATGGCAATCGGTTAACATAGCATCACAGGAATAAACTAACCTAATATAATATGCACATTGCTAATAGAAATACAAATCAAAAACCTTTCTAGCAAGTGGAGATTCCCTTTATTATCAGCACCCATTATTTTTATTTCCCACAAGGTCTTTGTTTTAGCACTGCTGAAGTTTGGACTGCACTGCGCACAATGACAACGTTTGCTTTGGTGCCATGGGAAGAAGGTGACGATGCACATACATACAGTGTGATATAAAAGCGACTGGATCAGGGGCTATAAAGAAAATGAAGTCATCACTGGGCAGGAAACATATGATGGAATGGCGACAAGGGAAATGCCCTCTAGGAGGTTGGCCTTGCTATGAAGCAACTCTACTGGATGTTGATGGTAATGTCATTCATTTATCTGCTATAATAGAATAATGCTCTTTGGGTTAATGACTCACTTAGGACAATTATCTAGATTGAGCCATATTTGTCCAACCTTTTTTTTTTTTGCCAAAATAATAGAAAAGGGTCATGTAAGTTACCTCAGCCTGAATAAGGTTAGCTTATTTAACTTATCTGTAGTTTATTTATGTTAATTAGCACTAAAATTCGTGCATTTATAAGAAAGTTAACCACCATTTAAGTCTTAATGATTTAAGTTCAGTCATTGCCCCATGTTTTGTTGATCTTGACTTGTATTAAAACACTGCAGTAAAATGACTGTACTACACTTACCTTGACATTAAAGAACTTGATGTCCGGAGCAATCTTTTAATATTTGCACACATGATAAAATCCCTAAAACAATTACAGTATATACTTTCTGAAATCCGAGGCCCTGTACAATTTTAAAAGTGCTAGTTTTTATGTTGCATAGTATTAGCGCATGTTTATCCAACAAGAATTTTTAAGATAAAATACAATATGAAATTAAGTGCACAGAAACAGATTAAAATACCCACTTTTGGGGTAAAATTTGAAGTCACGTAACCAGGGCCGGATTTACTCCCGCTGTTGCCCCAAGGCCAGGTTCTGCAATGCGCCCCCCTCCCTGCCAACCCCCCCACGGTCTGGACTGGACTGAGGGCACATTCTGGCTTCCGACACCTCTACAGGGCACGCAAGGGAGCTGTACAAGCAATGCACATATGGATGGAGCTTCAGCACAGCACAGAAGCCCACACTGAACCCCAGGCTGAGGATCCACTCCAGTTCTCATAAGATAGGGAGACTGGTTAGATCTTAAAAAAAGAACACTTTTTTTTGGGGGGGGTGTATGTGAGAATGTCTGAGTGTGCAAAATTGTGTCTGTGGTTGAGTGTATCTGTTAGTGTTTTTGAGGGTCACACTAGTACAGTGCAGTAATCGCACAATCACGTGAGATTAATTAACCTTACCATGCAATTACACCTAACGTGCATTCTGGTGTGTTGCATTGCCATTCAACCCCAAACGCACCTCCCACCCACAGTTCAATAGCCCGCACTTGAACGCATGGTACGGCATTGCCATGTGTTCCAGTGCGGCGTGACTTGGGTCACTACTTAATGACCAAGGACAAATGTGGGTCCTGAGGTTACAAAGGTTAAGAACCACTGTATTATAGTATCAGTGAGTCCACTGAGGTAACCACATATTATATACACAAGTAAGCTTGCTTGTTGTGTGGTACGGCCTCACTTTTACCTTGTCTAAAATCCTGCTAAAATATTTTTGAACTAGTGAGGGGCCAGCGGCAGACTTAAATAAGCCCTCCAATTGTGTATAGGTACATTTTTCCACATGTAATAAATTCCTAACAAATTATATGAATGAATATAGTGGGAAAGCAGGCCATACCTTTAAAAGGTTGTGTAACTAAAGTGCATTTTATTTTCCACAGAGTTGCCTGGTATATTAGATAGAAAACTACAACAGACCAGCTGACAGCAATGAAGAATGATAGTGGCAGTTCTTCCTGTGTGGGTCCATCCTCTGCATCAGAATCCATCTCATCTCAAGAGTGGCGCTCATCTCCATGTCAAGCAGCATACTCTAAGCCTAAACAGGTTGGTTTGCTTTTTTCCTAAACCTGAATTTCCTGGGGAATTTACTTTTAAGTGCCATTTAAAATGCACATAAATTCACACAGGACTGCATTAGCAAGTTTAAAGTTACTTCAACATATTCAATAAGAAACATGTACAGAAGTATTGTATAAAGACACGGTCTTGTCAGTCTTCAGTTTCAATCTACCTCAGGGCTCAGAATAAAAAGGGTAATGTCTGACTACATATTTTACAAGATAGTTATTTAAGCAGTAGAAACATACAGAGATCTATTATTTAAAATTGCTAACAGCATTGCTTTGGCATTTTCTATAACAGTTTGTTTCATAGCTCTTAAAATCCTGCATTCAACATTGTTTGCAGAACTGTTAATCACTAAGGGGGTCTATTCGCTAAGCTGCCGTAGACAGCTTAGTGAACGACCGACTTGAAGTGAAGTGAGCCGAATGCTGTTCGGCTATTCACTTCAGGTTTGTACGGCTGATTTCAACCGTACATCGGGTGGCTTTGGGTTGGCCGAACATGCTCAGCATGTTCAGCCGACCCGAAGTGCAGACAGAGTTCGACTCAGCCGATCCAACATCTGGATCGGCTAAGCCGAACCTCCGGCAGGCTACTCACTGCTGTTCGGTCTATTCTTATAGATGCCGAACAGCAGTGAGTAAATAGCCGAGCGCTCAGCGGCATTCGGCTCAGCTCTTCTGCTCGGTACCTCTGTGGGACCAGAGCAGAACAGACAAATAGTTAGAAAAGGAGAAAAAAAAAATAGAAAACGATTGTGCGGAGCTAGCAATGACAGCTAGCTCCACCCAACTGTTTTCTATAGGCCAGCGGTTCTGCTGCCATCCAAAAAAATTCCTATTGGCTATGTCAATTTGTAATAGCAAACTAGCTATTACACCCGCCCTCTGCTGCTGTCAATCACTAGTGGGGACCTGATGGAGAACTGCAGCAGTGGGCGGGTGCAATAGCTAGTTTGCCATTGGCTATTGCAAATTGAAATAGCCAATAGGAATCTAGCAATGCATTCCTATGGTGAAATTTCTTCTTTGTTTTTATTCTTAAGCCAGCCAACGGCTCCGTGTCAGAATAACAAAAAAAAAAGAAAAAGCAGTGTTTCTCTCATGGGTGGCAGGAGCGGGAGACTCCCGGAGCGCCCGGTAGAGTTAGGCTGCAGTTAGACCCTGTGAAAACATCAGCTCTGACAGGTAGACCATGAACTATGACTGTTACTATGTTGACTATGTTCAATTCATACTGATTTTTAAAGGTCTACAATATTTTGATGTTTTTATGCATGCCTAATATTGTTAGTATGGATGCACCAATACCGGGACCTCAAGTGAGATCCACACAGCCCAGCAGAGCCTGCAGCCACCCGAGAGTCCACACAGCTCACCACAGAACCTGCAAAGCCCACCTGTAAGTCTACACAGCCCACCATAGTACCTGCACAGCCCACATGAGTGGCCACAAAGCCCACCATACAACCTGCACAGCCACCTAAGAGCCCATACAGTCCACCATAGACCCTGAACAGCCCACCTGAGAGTCTGCACAGCCCACCAAAGAACCTGCACAGTCCAAGGACTAAAGCGGGGGCCCAAACTACTTGTCCTGATATATTAAAAAATAATTTTAAGTAAAACCCTATTGGGACACGTCAAAAAGCACTTCTCATTGGTCAGCATGGCCAGTGCTGACAAATTAGTGCTTGCAATTTACAAGCAAAAGTCAAAATCAGGGCTGCGCTGTATGTGGTACAGATAGTACATCCATACCAGTAGAGAGGACAGTTCACCGAAAGGTATTAGTACTGGGGAAGGGGGGATGGGGAGAAGGGCCGGATTTGAACCGTTTTTTTAATTTTCCCAAATGCCTTAAGAAAAGTGAAGTTACCCTTAAATGCGCATTATGCGTGTTAGAGAACACTGCTTAATCAAATCAAGATGGGAGTGGTGAGGTTGGTTTAATTTTCTTATTTTAAAATGTATTTATTTTTTACTTAAACACTTTTTAATTTTAATATTGTTTACCTTTGCTTTTTATTTGATTGTTTCGTTTTTTTAGTTTATTTTTATTCACTTAACTTTATTGCTATCATACAGAGGCTAACAAGCCCCTATATGATAGTGTTTGGAGTTGACAGGTTCTTTTTATAGAACCTGCCCTCCAACACAGAACATCAAGCTCATTATTGAGCTCAATCTTCTGTACAGTTTGCGACAGCTGAGTAGGTGGCGCTGTGAGCACAGCACTCCCTTCTCACTAATCACAGAGAGCAGAAAGGAGAACAGACATTCTCCGCTCTGCCCGCTGCTCTCTATCCTGAAATGTTTGCCGTGCTCCTGGGTCCTCCAGACGAGGGTGGACCTCGAAAACCGCGGTGGGGGGGAATAGTGTTGGCTGCTGCTTGCTAAACATTTAGCCCTGCTAGCCGGCAGCAGGGCTAAATGTAGAAGACAATGTAGAAAACAACCTGATGTTGGATGGTAGAAACTCCACACCCTTGCTCCTGAGACACTGCACAGCCCACTAAGAGCCCTCCTGAGACCTAGCCTCCTGGGATATCAGGCAGGCAACCCGGAGCAACTACTAGTGGTGCAACATTTGCAGCTGGGACTGGTCCCTGGTGCTCCATCACTGTCCTAAAACCATTAGTCTGCATTGTTAAAAAAAAAAAAAAAAAGTATTAGTAATTGGCATTGTAAAGTATCTGTACTCGTACTTGGTCTGGAACAAATGGTATCGGTGCATCCCTAATTGTTCGTTTACTTTACTCTTGCATCTGTTACGGGGCTTTTGGTTCACAAGGAACATCTAATAAGTTTAATATTTTCCATTTACTTTTTAAAGCTGCAACTTTTGAAAAGTTTCCCGGGACTTCAAAAGGTGTCATAAGCGATGCTGTTAACAGGAAAATTGCAGAATTAAAATATCGCCTTAAGGAAACAGTCAAGACCTCAGCAGATTCACAGAACTAAGTTTTATAATGCAATTACGTTTCAAAAATGTTGACCATATGAGTGTTGTACAAGTGTTTTTCCATTGTATTCTACTGTATTTTTACATGATAATAATAAATCATGATAAATATATTTACGAATATATTGCAATATATTTTTGAAATATATTGAATATGGCCAAAATTGTAGTATTTGAAATATATGGCAATATATTTGGGAAAAATATATTAAGAATGTTTTTTTAAACTATATTTAAAATATATTTTTCTTCCATGTGGGATACCGCATTGATTAACAAATTAAGAGACCGATTTGGCTCTTAAATGCTTGAAGACCAGGTGTTTAGACTCCCTTCCTGCCCAGGTCATTTTTCAGTATTCAGCGCTGCAGTACTTTGACTGACATTTATTCCGTCATACAACGCTGTACTGAAATTAATTTTATACCATTTTTTGGGGACAGATAGAGCTTTCTTTTGGTGGTATTTAATCACCACTGCGGGTTTAATTTTTTTACTATATTCAGGAGAAATTACTGAAAATTTTGGAAAAAAAAAAAGTTTTTTTGACATTATGTTATAAAACAACTAATATTACCCACTTTTTTGGTAAAACATAAAAGACAGGGTCACGTTGGGTAAATAGACACCAAACATGTCAAGCGTAAAAATTGCACGCACTCGTGAAATCGCAAAAAACTAGCATACCCAAAATTGCCCATAGGCGATGCTTTAAAAGCTTTTACAGCTTAGCAGTTTAGTGTCATCAGTGATTGATGACCCTAAAATTCTTGCTCTCACTGCGACGTTCGCGGCGATATGTAACATGTGTGGCACAATCGTCGTTTTCGCAGGTATGCGCACCTGACGCATGTTTATATGCGTGTATGTAGGGGTGGGGACTTTATCAAAAAAAAATGTTTTTAAATTCTTTAATGTGTAACTTAAAAAAATTTGGGGGGAAACTATTTTTTTTTCACTTAACTTTATTGCCATCACAGAGGGGGCTAAGAAACCGCTCTATGCGATAGCAAAAGGGGTGACAGGTCCTCTTTATGGAGACATCAGGGGTCTCCAAGACCCCTAATGTTACCTAGAACACCCCTGAAGCTGATGAAGCACAGATCTGCTTCATCAGCTTCTCTCCAGCATCTGAAGCTGGAGAGTGACACAAGAATGCGGAAGTGCTGTAATATACATCACATCCGCATTCTGACAGCGGAGGGGACTGGAGGGAGATCGTGAACCGACCTCCTTCTGATCCCCTGTGACAGAAGCAGTATGCTGGTCCCGGGCTCACAGCGGAGCGCGCACATCACGGGACCTCATACAAGCGATCCGCCGGCTCTATAGCCTGCGGATTGCTTGTATATTAACGGGCATCGCTGCCTGTTTTCAAATAACAGGCATTTCCCGCTCGCCCGAGTGGGCGGAAGTAACAGGACGTGTATACACGCCCAGTTACATCCAAGAAGCTCCCGGCCGGCCGTGTATACACAATGGCCGGCCGGGAGGTAGTTAAGCAGTAGACTGCGACTCCTCAGGGGCAAGCTATTGAGTGAAAGGTTGGAGTGATTCAGAGTCAGAGAGTCTCCGTGGCTGATGGGTCAGTACCTACTAAGGCCACTGGTAAATCAGATAGAGGATCTGCAAGGGAAGTCACATGAGTGCATTTGTGGCCTCAGTAAAAAAACAAAAAAAAAAACTGGGTAATTTGGGCCACAAATTGCATGACTGTAGTGTAAAAAAAAACAAAAAAAAAAAACAAGAGGGCAGAAGAATGGGCATCACACAACAGAACTAGGGAAGACTCTGAAGATGGGATAGACTCTAGATCACAGGACAACATGATTCAAGGCTGCAAATGTTGGCCACATCAGTGGGCACACTGCAGGCACCACTGGAGCGGTCAGTAAAGTTTGAGCTGGGGGGCCAGGTCCTGGCCCGTGTCCAAATATTAGGTTAGGCTTTTGGACAGCAGAGCTAAAGAAAACATGTCCATCCTTTTAAACCGAGGCATGATGGTAGGGGGGAGGGATTATCCTGGGCTGGCCTAAAATTTGTTTTCGTCTTTTTGCGTCAGTGTCCAATCCTACCATAAGCTTGAGTGTAACCTCTAGGTTAAAGACTTGTGTGTTTCAATGGATGAGAAAGAAAACTATTTAAGATAATTTAATGAATGTGAAAGACATACCATGGTATTGTATACTTGCCTTTCTTCCAAGCCGGGCTCCTGCAGGTGGCGCTGCCTCCCTATCACTCACACCTGCAGCATCATACAGCCCCGCCTTCTGTGTCAGTTTAAGCCATGGGAATAATTTTATTGAACATGCTGGAAGACAGCAGTTGAAACCGCTCTCCATCCTGAAGCTCGTAACTGCTCTCCATCTTGAACTTCTAGCTACTTTGTTACACTTTTCATCCTGAAGTATCCATAACCCTATTTTCGCTCTCCATCTTGCAGTATGTTGCTGCCTTGTATCCACACACCTTGCTAAAATTAATAGAGACCTCCTGCAGTCACTTCAGCCATTAACCTCAGCTTCTGACCAGTATCCTGCAGCACCTGTCTTCAGTCCTCATTATAGCTTCCAACAATGGACTGACAATTCCTCTGAGCTCATCCCACTCAGTGTTATGCTAGCTTCAACCATCTCAACTGCAAGTATACGTTTCCTCACCACTATTACTTCTGTCTGTCACATGAACTCTTAAAATGTTGAAAGACATACAACTAAGGAATTAGACTCATGTGAAGAAACTGAGGGAAAGTTATCAAAACTGGAGCAGACAAAATCTGGAGAAGCTGTGCACAGTAACCAATCAGCTTCTCTTTTTCATTTTCAAATCTTAAATTGAAGAAAGAAGCCGATTGGTTGCCATGCACAGCTGCTCCAGATTATGTTGGCTCCGGTTTTGATAAATTCCCCTCTCTGTTTTGAACGCATGATCCTACGTAACACACCTTCATTATGTTACTGGGCCACTGATTGATGAGGCTTGTGTTGTGCATACCCACAGAGACTATATAGCTTTTGCTAAACTACTGCCTAATCTTACTTAACTTGTTGTGGAAGGACACTGTATGAAGTAATACAGTTTTATGTCCTGTAAGAACTTAATACATTGCAACATATGCCATACATCCGCAGCTGAGATCCAAGTGAGTACCTTATGATAGTTGTTTGTTACAGGTATTGTATGCCTTGAGGATACACTAAAATGATTGTAAAAGGCACTGATCACATCTAGAACAACTGCACCACTGGTACAACTATCCTTTATTTAATTCCTCCTACCCCGGAGTGCAGCCCATGAGCTACAGTGGGTATAGAAAAGAATCACCCCCCTTGAACATAAATCACATTTTGTTGTTTTATCCAGCTGTCATTACTCATTGCAACTTATAACAAAGTGAAAGATATAACACCAACATGTCAGAAAAAAATTACATTTAAAAACAGAATTAATCAAGATGTTAAAAGGATCCCCCCCTTCTAAAAATGACTTGTAAAGTCAATCAGCTAATCACCTACCTGCATGGCACACAAAGCCATTTGACTTTCATCTGTGATCAGCTGTGGTCATTTTGATAAGCTCAGCATGAAAAGAGCTTTCCTGCAGCATTTCAGTCCCTGGTAGTGCAACTGAAGCAATCAACTATGGGTGGCAAGGCACTGTCAAAAGATCTCCAGGATATATTTGTGGACAGGCACAAGTCAGGAGATGGATACAAAACAATGTCAAAGGCTTCATCAATGCCTAGAAGCACAGTGAAGTCAATTATTAAGAAGTAGAAGGTATTTGGTACAACACAGACCCTCCCTGGAATCAGGATGTCGCTCCAAACTGGATGAAAGAGCCAAGAGGAAACTGATCAGAGAGGCTACCAAGAGGCCTACAGCAACTGTGAAGCAGTTGCAGGAATTTGTGAGAGTGGTCATTGTGTGCATGTGACAACAATATCACAAATTCTCCACAAATGTGGCTTGTATGGGAGGGTTGCAAGAAAAAAAGCCACTCCTCAAGACTGACCATATGCAGTCACGACTGAGCTTTGCCAAAATGCACCTTGAAGATTCTGAGGCCACATGGAAAAAAAGAGTGTTCTGGTCAGATGAGACAAACTGAATTGTTTGGCCTCAACACCAAATGATATGTCTGGCGGAAAATCCTATACAGCTTACCATCCAAACACTGTTGCTACAATAAAGCATGGAGGTGGCAATATCCTGTTATGGGGGTGTTTATTTGCCGCAGGGACTGGAGCACTTGGGGTCAGGAAAGAAGGAAAAATGGATGGGGCAAAGCACCATCAAATTCTTGAGGAAAATATGTTGCCCTCTGCCAGAAAGTTGTCAATGGGAAGAAGGTTTACCTTCTAACATGACAATGACCCAAAGCACACAGCAAAAATGACAACACAGTGGCTGAAGGAGAAAAGAGTGAATGTCCTTGCATGGCCTAGTCAGAGCCCAGACTTAAACCCCATTGAAAATCTGTGGAATGACTTGAAGACTGCAGTTCACAAACGGTCACCATCAAATTTAACAGAACTTGAGCAGCTCTGCAAAAAGAGTGGAAAAATATTGCAAAGTCTAGATGTGCAAAGTTAATAGAGACATATCCCAACAGACTAAGAGCTGTAATTAAAGCAGAAGGTGGTTAAACAAAATACTGACACAAGGGGGTGATCCTTTTTCCAAATCAGTAATTATGTTTTTGAGTTTTTTTACATTATTTTCCAAGATGTTGGTGTTTTATCTTTCACTTGGATGTTATAAGTTGCACTAACTAAATACCGCTGGATAAAACAAAAACTGTCGCCGTCTTCTTTTCAGGCTGCAAAGCAACAAAATGTGATTTTAAAGGGGGGTGATTCCATTTCATACCCACTGTAAATACTTGAACTATGGGGTAACATTTTTATCCCATAGTTCTCTTAAGGGTCACGGGAGGACAT